TGTTTGTTTATATATATATATATATATATATATATATATATATATATATATATATATATATATATGTATATATATGTATGTATGTTCTAGAATTGCGCCACTCAAGGTGGCTTCATGTTGAAGCAGCTCTGTTACTTTGCAAAGACTGGGTGGACATGGATATGATGTTTGTATGTTGTTTGGTAAAAACATGTCTTGCTTGTAAATAAGTCCCTGAGGATCAATGAGTCTAACTTGTATAAATAAAGGTTGAATGAATAAGTCCATCCATCCATCCATCCATTATCTTTTACCCACTTCTTCCATTTTGGGTCACGGGGATCGCCGGTGCCCATGTCCAGCAATCACTGTGCGAGGTGTGGTGTACTCCCTAGGTAGTTTGCAAGTCCATCACAGGGCCACATAGAGACAAACGCGACAAACAACCATTCACTCTCTCACTTGAATGAATACATGATTAAATTAATTAATGAATGAAGTGATTGAAATTTTGAATAGATAAATGCAAAATTAGAGTGGTAAAAAAATTAATAAAACATTCCAACTTTGGATTGGAACACATACTTGGTTATTATAATGACGTAACCTTTTTAATTCCTGCAGGAACTAATGGGAAAAGTGTTGAACTTGTTGGGCTGCCACGTGCAGGACTACCTCAGAGCCAAGGAGCTGCTTATGGGAAAACAGCATGATCAGAGTGAACAGCTGTGGAAAGCATATTCAAGCATTACTAAACCTCACCTTGTTATGAACGATGATGCAGAGGAACTCAACTATGTCAGAGCTGTTGTTGATTTGTTGCTTCGTGTTTTGGTACCATCACCACATTTAGAAACCCGCACGGGACAGTTTGTTGTCGGAGAGCTCATCACCTGCAACGCCCTGCTCCCTTTTTTTGCGAAATTGTCTGACCCAGACTGGCTGAATCTCCTTGTGATTGAAATCTTTGGTAAGTCCAGCACGCCACATGAAGCAATAGCAAAAGAACCACAGCCTTCCTCACTAGCACTACCTTCTGCAGAATCTGAGATGGCTTTGCCCCAACAAGTAGCACATGTATCTCAAACAAATAATGAAGTTCCTTTACAAAGAGCACAGGTTGAGCACTTTAATAACCCAGATGTGGCAGCCCCTGTGCTTACTGCCTATGATGTGAATGACTCTGAGGAAGATAAATCTACTCAACCATGTTTAAGGCACTACATAAGAGGAAGAAAGTTAAACCCATTTTACCAAGAAAATGACTCAGACCTGGACTCTCCGTTGGCTGACTATAAGCAAAGTTCTACTGATTCATTGCTCATAATGGGCCAAGAAGAGGATTTGTTTGACAGGCAGAAAGACTGTGCCTCAACTGTTGAGAGCAACAATGGTATGGACTCAGAAGATGTTTGCTCCACACCTGTGGATAGCTCATGCCCTAAAGTCTTTGTAAATTCAGTAGTGGTGATGCATCCTACTGAGAGTGGCATATCATCGCTTAGAGCAGCAGATGGGCTATACAGTGTCAGAAGTCTTCAGGACTTGGACAAAGAGGGAAGTTCTTCTGCAGTCAACCCGAACAGAGAGCTTCTGTTAGGCATAGAACAGACTGGATTGGGGAATGCTAATGAGCTGGCTATCACAAGTCCATTGCAGGGCTGTTCTCCACTGTCAACATTTAGCTTTGAGCCCCTCAGCAGCCCTGAAGGACCAGTCATCATCCAGAACCTCCGGATCACTGGCACAATCACTGCTAAGGAACACCGTGGCACTGGCTCACACCCCTACACACTTTATACTGTCAAAGTAAGTGACACAACTAAACTAATTGGCATTTTGTCAGTTATTTGTTTTTATTTATCTATTTAACTTGTAAATTTAGTTGTTCTGTGATGTTTACTTTAATTTTCAGTAAATGTGTCATTCAAATGCAATATAACATTAAGCTGCAGATATTTGTTAATGAAACTCTTGAATTATTGCACTAGAGCAAATCTCCCCCCTCCCCAGCACCCCCCCCCCCCCCCGCGGCG